ATTCTGAATTAATTCCTTGGCTGCTGAGTTCACCCCTTGGCTTCTGAATTCACCCCTTGAAGTCTTAAATCCCCCTTGGATTCTGAATTCCCCCAAGGGTGAGGAGACAACCTGGCCTTGCTTAATTCAAGGTGCCAGCACTTGGAGGGGGAGATGGGCTGGACCCACCCCTGTTTGTTCTCCAGGGTTTGCTGAAAAGGGGCAAAAAGCCTCCCCCAAGCATTTGTCTCTCCTGAACTCGTCCCCATCGGGCCCTGGAAGCCCAGGAGGAGCCAGGCAGGAAAAGTTTATAATTCCAAGTGATCTCCAAATCTCCTATTCCAGGGCAACAGGAAGAACAGGAGCCCTGAGAGCTGCACGAGCTCAGCACATCCCGGGGCTGCGACCCGGCCTCGAACCTCTTCCTCTACCCAAAGCCAGGGTTTCCTTTGCTCAGCAGGGGTTGAGCACCAGCATTTCTCCTGTGCCAGGAGCCCTGGTGCTTCTCTGGTGCTTCTCAGGTGTTTCAGTGTCCCTGTGCCCTGTTTTGCAGGGCTGACAGGTTCCTCCAGGACACCAGGAAGGTCCGTCACGGCGCCGTCGGCCTCTTCTGCTGCGGGATCTGCTGTTACCTCACAGGCAAGGGCTCCTCCCAGCCCCTGCACCCCGGGCTGGGCTCTGCTTGGGCTTGCAAAGGGCTTTGCCAGCTCATTCCTGGAGTGGGAACTTCCCCGGGTGCCCAGAGCTCACCACAGGCCTGAGCTTTGCAGGGGCTGGAGCGTGTCTGGGGAAGGGAAGGGAGAAGGGGAGGGGGCTGGAGAGTCAGGGGGATGAGGAGGAGCTGAGGGAGCTGGGGGGGCTCAGCCTGGAGAAAAGGAGGATTGGGGGGGACCTTCTCACTTTCTCCAACTCCCTGACAGGAGGGGGGAGCTGGGGGGGCGTCGGGCTCTGCTCCCAGGGAACAAGGGACAGGATGAAAGAGCCCCAAGCTGTGCCAGGGGAGGGTCAGGCTGGACATCAGGAGGAATTTCTCCACGGAAAGGGTGCTCAGGCATTGGAAGGGAGGTTTGGAGTCCCTACCCCTGGAGGTGTCCGAGGAAGGACTGGAGGTGGCCCTCAGTGCTCCGGGCTGGGGGGACAAGGAGGGGATGTGGCACAGGGGGGATCCACGAACTCTTTTCCAACCTCAGTGCTTCTGCAAAAGCATCCCTTCCTTCCCCTCCCCG